GACTGTCTCCACGCGCACGCAGCGCGCGGCAACAGCGCCGGAAGCGATGGTCGTCCCTGGACGCCACGCCCGTGAGCTCGCTGCCTTGCGCACCGAGTACGAAGAACGCCTCGAGAGCCTCCGCACCGACTGCCAGATGCAGTTGGCGGCGTTGGCCACGACCTTGCGTACCGAGCACCAAGCCAACATTGTCGCTGTAAAGACGACGCTGCAGCAAGAACACCAAGAAGCCTTGGTTGCCTCGGACGCCAAGCTGCGCCAAGAGCACTCGATCAAAGAGACGGCTCTCATCTCCGAGCTTGCAAAGCTGGCCGCACAGCGCGACACCAGCCTCGAGCGCGCTCAGGTCCTGTTCACTCGATCGGAGGGCCTGCGCCGCGACCTCCACACGCTCGCCAAGCTCAACCGCCGTCTCCAGACCACGATCGCCACGACAACCGCAGAGGCTGCCACGACACAAAAAATCGCTGTCGAGGCGCGTGTCGCAGAGCGTTACACTGCTGAAGTCGAAGCGCAGCTACGCCACACAACCGCCGACCTCGCAGCGGCGACCGATGCCATCGCTGCGTCGACACTGGCCGCGGCCACCAAGGACGACCTCATCGCCTCGCTCCAAGCCGAGCTCGAGCTCACGACCAGCGACCTCGCACACGCCGAGCACGCACTCGACCAGACCAAGCGCGACCTTGCAACGTCCAAAGCGACCGAGGACGACAACGCGGTCCTCCTCCGCGACGCTACCAACACCATCGCGTCCAAGGACGAGCGCATCCAGGCGCTTCAAGCCGACCTCGACAGCCATGCACAAGATCTCGCTGGTGTTGCGGGCCAGCTCGAGCAAGTGCACCGGGACTTGGCGTCGCATCAAGCGCAAGAACGCGAGCTCCAGGACCAACTCGACCGCCTCCAGGACGAGCTCACGGACAGCTTGACGGATCGATGCTGTGCGACGATGGACGACGACGCCACCGTCAAGGCCATGGACGAGCGTCTCCAGATGCTGCAAGCCGACGTCGACAGTCATGAGCAGCGGATGCTTCTTGAAGTATCGGCTAAGGACGCCTCGTTGGTCTCGCATCAAGATCGCATCAATGAACTACTGGGTCAGCTTGCCGTGGCCAAGATGGCCGCTGGCAGCGCCCGGCTTCTTCACGACACGACGATCGAGACCAAGGAAGCGGCCCTCCGCCAGCCTCAACTCGACCTAGACGAACGCGACCAGCTCGCTCAGACGCACGATGGTATTGTCGACCAGCTGCAGCGTGCTGTGGCCACCAAGGACGAGCTTCTAGCCGCACACGAAGGTCAAGTGCGCGATCTCCAACGTCAGCTTCAAGTGGTCCAAGCCAAGCTTGGAGCAACCGAGGCAGCTCAAGTCGATGCAGCCCGCGCTCATGCAATGTCCATCCAATTCAAGGACGAGCAGATGCACATGCTCCAAGAAGACCTCGAGGGCCGCACGAATCAAGTCGCAGCACTCGTTCGCACGCGCGATCAGCTCCAATGCGACGCGGCCGAGCTCCACTTCGACGTGTCCGAGCTCCAAGCTCAGATTCGCCAGCTCCAAGGCGATCTCGGTGATCACGCGCTGCGAGACCAAGAGCTTGGCCACCTGATGGAGCAGCTGGAGCAAGTTCAGCGCGACTTGGCTGGCAACGACGAGCTGCTGTGGTTGGCGCACGAGAACCAAGTGTGTGATCTCCAAGCCCAAGTCGACGACCTCCAAGATGTCGTGCTCGAGCTCGAGCAGCTGCTGGAGACGAGCGAAGCGTACACGCGAGTCCTCGAGTCCGACGCCGTCGGGAGCCGCGAAGAAGCGCCCGAGATGACCCACCACCGCTGCGACCGTCGCACCTCCGTGTACACCGACGAGATGGCTGGTCGACCTGTATCTCTGTAGTTCTATATCTCAATTGTACATTGCATGTAAGACACAAATGGTAATCCATTGAAAAATACAATATTAAATAGGAACCAGGAGCTTAGTGGCAGAGATCCGAGGCGTCGCCGGCGAGCGCGTCGATTGCGAGGTCGACCTTGTGCAATGTGATGAGGTCGTGCGTCGTGAGGTCGGCCTCACAGTGCCGGAGCATTTCCAGTGTCTTGCGCACGCAGTCGAGGCTCGAGACCGTCGAGGAACTCGACGAGTCCAAGCCCGCGTCCGGCGTCTTGGTGAGGAGCGCAGAGGCGGGCTACAAGAGCGCGTACCACTCGTTGACGCCCGCGACAGTGGTGATGCGAGCTTTCAGCGCCTCCAGCTTGAGTTCGAGCAACTCGATCGCGAGCGTCGAGTGCATGGGCACGACGGCATCCAGCGCCAAAATGTAGTCGGCGAAGAGGCCGAGGGATGTGGCCGCGAGCGCGGGCTGCTCGTCGATCGAAATCGTGAGCGCCTCGAGCTGCAGCGTCGTGTCCTCGAGGTACTCGGCCGTCGCGCTGTCGGCCACAAGGTTTGCTTCGTACGCCAGATCGACCATGTCTTGGACGAGCGCAATCGCATCGTCCGCGATCTCGTCGATCTCGTGACCGCAGGCGGCGTCCGACTCGTCGTCCGAGTTGTAGCTGCCGGTCATGTCCAGCGTCGATGTGGGCGACGGGATGTCCATGGGCGCCGACTTGTGCACAAGCTGCGTCGTGGCGCCGTCGTTGAGGTCCGTTGTGGCGACATCGGCCGTCGTGGCTGCCTCGACGGGTGCGCTGGCAGTGATGGCTTGCCGCGCGCAGGCTCAGGTAGACGTCGGCGGCGCAGATGGCGACGGAGACGAGGGACACGGCGAGGAGGCGAGAGGCGGGCTCGCTGCGAAATCGCTCAACCATCGCGCGCTCGCATCGCACGGGCCTTGGACGACTGCGCGCACAAGGATGGCTGCACCCGGTATTGGATCTACACTCGTAGCGCATGGGAAGGCCCGGAAGACGACGCAGAGATGGTCCGAGAAGCAGGACCAGCACATTGCGTGGCGTCTATCAGCGCACCGGAGCTGCCGGTTGTCTGCCGCTCCCACGCCATTGTGCAATAGAGCTGCGTACAACCGAATGTTTTATACATATGATACGTGTATTAAACACGTGGAGCCAGGCAACACATTTTGGAACGACCAATCACAACGGTCCAAAGCCGCCTCTTAACTCCATCGACCAAGATTCCGATGGCGAACGGGCAACGAAAGCAGCAGCAGCGGGCCAAGCCGCCGGCCAAGGCCCGACGGGTCCGCGGGCCGACGGGCAAAGAGCCGTTCGAGGAGGCCGTCGGGCTACTCCGTCGCTCCGCCGCGCACTCGCCGACGCCATGGGGCATGTTTGAGATCCCGCATCCCGTCGAGCCGCTGCTGCATGTCGATGCGATGGACGAGTGGCTCGGCTGGCCGCTCTGCAAGTTCCAGGCGCATCAGGTCATGGACGCGTACAAGGCGTCGCACGGCGTCGCGATCGTACCGGCGGCGCACCTCACGATCGAGAGCGACGACTGGCGCGAGGCGATGGACACGGTCATGCGCCAGCACATTGCCGACGCGTTCTTGCCGCAAGGCGCGTTCTCGCTGCAGCTCTCGCACTTTGTGCTCGACTTTAAAGGCTCGGCGTCGAGCTTGGTGCCAACGACGCGGCCCGCGCGCACCGTCGGAAGCGTCTACTTGCACCTCTCGTCCATGTACACGGGCGGCGAGGTGACGCTGACAAGCGCTGGCGGCCTCACGCGCGCGTGGGAGGCGACCAAGTTTCTCACACGGCTGCAGTGCCTCGTGCTTTCGCCGTCGACGACGATCTCGGTCGACCCGATCACGTACGGCCAGCGCGCGATTCTGGTCTACCACCTCGTCGACGAGTCGCCGTCGACGTACTTTGACGAAGCGGTCGCCAAGCTCACGGCGGCCTCCTGCGTGCGCCACCCCGTGTTTAGCGTCGGCGGCATCCGGCTCGCGGCGCCCAACCCGACGCTGTCCCGGGACAAGTTGGCGCCGGTCGATCTGGACTTTGCGCGCGCGCTGCTGGCGTCGGGCGCCTACGATGTGGTTGTCGCCGAGCACGAGAAGAACTTTGATCTCTTTGGCGTCGGTGGCACGGGCTACTCGTCCAAGCTTCTGCGCGTTCAGGCGCTGCGGGAGCTGCCAGCCGCGGTCGCCGACAACCTCCCGAGCGTCTCGGTCCAAGCGTACCTCTTTGAGAAGAAGGCCGACCCGCGCAAGATTGGCTTCTCGGGCCCGCAGTACTCGCTCGTCTTTTGG